GGGCATGAGGAGAGTGTCCGCGAAATTGGTACTGAAACTGCCCATCTGATTCAGACTTTCGTCGCCAAACATAACATCCCTGTGGTTCATCAGGCTCCCTACTCCCCCAACATGGCTCTGTGTGACTTTTGGCTATTTCCCAAGCTGAAAATGCCGCTGAAAGGAACCCGATTTGAGTCAAGAGAAGACATCATGCGGAATGTGACAGCCCGGTTGATCACCATTCCAAAAGACACGTTCCAGACGTGTTTCCAACAATGGCGGAAGCGCTGGGAGAAGTGTGTGCATTACCAAGGAGACTACTTTGAAGGGGATTAGGGTTTTGTAACTCCAAATCAATAAATGTATTTCTGCCAACCAAAGGTTCGATACTTCTTGAACACACCACGTATTTACTGTCCTAAGTGATCCTGCACTAATTGATGAATGGTGAGGGTCTGATACCACATGTTATAGAAATGGGAAAGGATGTAATAAAATTAAGTACACACATATTCCAAATGTGTTCTTTACTATTTTGTATATTAGTTGGTTTTGTCAGTTGTACATCACAAGTAAAAATATTGTTTGCAAACCCTGTCATACCACTGACGTCACATTGTATACAGCTATAAAATAGGTTTTCTTGTATTTCATTTAATATATACCATTTTGAAAAATGTTTTAAATACAAACAGATCTTAAAAGCTGCTCATAATTGGTTTAGAGGAGTTTCAGCAACATGGTTATTTGCAGGTAACAGCTTCTGTGTTTGTGTCATATTCTAATATTTTATACACAGAGAATTGCTTCCTTCTAAGTGATTAAATTACTGTGTGAGATTTGAGATTATTATGACAGGGAGTTAAAAGATTACTGTCTTCTGGGATATGAGGCCATGAATTCTGAGAGAAGAGAAACTTGCTACTCACAACTTCAATGTAGAAGATGAAGCAGTAAGATTCAAGATATGGGTAATGATCTATCATATTATACAGGATCACATCCCAGAAGACAGTAAACTTCAAATTAAGAACTGTTTTCAGTACCATTTTATTAAAGAAACATGCACATTTCAGTCCACTGTGAGAAAATGAAAATATCTGTGTCATCAGTTATCATAAATTAGATATAATACAAAATACTGAGTTCGTAATGATGGACACACCATAGTAATGTATATAAAGGGAGCTTCATGGGTAATAGCAATCTCATGTACAGTATGTTGGTTTAATCTGTCACTAATATTACAGGAAGAAATGTCTGAAAGTGATGTTTGATAGAGTCCAGTCTGTGAGAACCAGTCTCAAGGAAAACATAGATAAACTTGGAACTCCTGGTAACTGGGACAACATCACAGCTCATAAAGGGATCTTTTCCTTTCTAGGATTGACACGCAAGTTTATACTGAATACAATTTTCATAAGTCTATTAGATCAGCTGTGAAATGATAGGTGATGGTTTCAGTGCTGTTAATTTAAAACTTACAGATTAACCTATCTTGAAATAATAATACATTTCTATGCTCTACTGGCTGTGGGCTAGCTGTCTCTGTCATCATGTCCAAGTTGTCTTGGAGCTCACCCACTCTCGTATGAAATGGATACCAAAGGCTGTTTTGCTGTGGGTGAAGCGGTAGAAGTGTGAAGCCGACCAGTCACCACAGTCCAGCTCTAAAGTCTAGAGAATATGGCACTTATCTCTTGACCCCTGTATGCTTTCATGGTACTGTATTATAATTAAACACAGGACACAGCAACTCTCCTGATTCACATTCAGAAGGTCCTGGATTCTAGTCTCAGCCTGGAAACCAACTATCCAGACTAATGTCAGTGATGGCTTTTCTACACCCCTTCAGACATTATCAGACAGTACTTCACTTTAGGCCACAATTGCTTTGTCTCATGACCAATTCATTATTCACCAGTTGTCCTACCATTTGACGCTATATAGTCTGAACTAGTGAACGTGTATGGTCTAAACAATTGATGTTCTACTCCTGGCAGGGGTAAGAGATTGTTCACTTCTTCATAAAGCCCATACTCGCTCTGAGGCCCACTCAGCCTCCAATTCAATGGTTATCAGGAGCTATATCGCTGGAGGTAAAGCAGCAGGGGTGTGAAGCTGACCACTACCCTCCGATTTAGTGCCAAGATTAAGAATGGTCGAGTTATACTTCCACCCCATCCCCCCTAGATGCCTTCATGGCATAGTGCTTAATTATGTTATTAAATATGAGGATAACTTTACCTCTTCCTTTATTAACAGTGTCATTGAGTATCTCTATATAATTAAACCATAATGGTGCTGCATGAGACTGTAACACAGTGCACTAATAGGTCACTGCACATAGTATTAATTCTCCTGGTAGTTGGATATGCCAACAGTAGTCTCTCTTTCATTCGTTGTCACCATTTTCATGAAAAATGTTTATTTTTGAGAGCCTTTTGCAACCTGTATTTTGTATTTTTTCAGTATTGAATGATGTGATGTCATGGTTGAATTGTGAGTATGTAGAAGCCCCTAGTAAATCAGAGAAATAAATAAACAAACTTCAGCTCATCAAATGGAATATATAAAAATAAAGCACCATGTCCACATGCTGTCTAATGGCAGAGCCAATATGTGTGGTCTCAACAGTGAGAATATTGGCAGAATTGCAGAGGCCATTCATGATGCTGTAACCAAGGTTCACAACTAAACTCCATTTTTTTCACATTATAATATCATTAGAGCTCAAAACAAAAGTATCATACTTGTCTTTATAAAAACTTTATGAGTTTGTTAGTTGATTATGTTCCAAGGTGCCACATTTTTGGTAGTGTCAGTATTTGGCAAAATTCACAGACCAATAAACCAACTCAATGAAATTTACTTACTACTTTCCTCTAAGAATCTGGTTTCCTTCATAACTGGTACCAATTCTTCCTTCATCTAGCATCCATCATTGGGTTTCATAGCATATATTTTTCCATATGAAGTTGGCTTCCTGGTTTTGGGCAAATTGCTGCTGGCCCTCACTGGCATAGTCATTCTTGGTTCTGAGTCCCATGAGGCTCACAACCATATTTTACTGAATCCCCAAACTTGGAGGACCTGGGGCTACCTTTTATCTGGCTCCTAACTTTTGTCCTTTGACTGTTGTATCATGAATGACCCTACCAGGAGCTCATGCTTCTGCCAGCATAGCTGGCCTTTCAGGGCATGGAAACCTCACCATCATATTAAGGTAGGAGCTGAACAATAAGACAAATTCAATTTATTTGCCAAAAATCTTGCAGATGATTGCACATTTTGCTGTCATATATAATGTTACAATTAGAGATTTTAGTATTTTATTGTACTGTCTTATGCAATAGTACATACACAGCAAAACTTCTGACTCTGATTGTAGTATGATGACCAACAGAGGGGAACTATAGCTTACAGTGGGTTCTCGATCATAGTGGGAGTTTGGTATTCTCCACATTCACAGAAACCTTATGTATCACAGATGAGAGAAATGAAAGGTATGTGGAAACATCTGCACTTGATCTGCTCAGTTTCAAAACTAGGACCACAGATACATAAGTGTCCATTCAATTCATCATTAGAGGTCTGTAATTATCAATATTCTTTTATGTGTGTTCAAAATTGTATTTAGAGGATATATTTCTTAGAACATTCTGCAGAAATGTCAAACTGAATGAGAAAGTGCTTGTTGTACATGTCCACAGATGCAGCTGTAAAATTTTACAAAGGGTAAGAGAATGAAAAACTATCACAGCGTGTCTGGAATGTAAAATGTATACTGGCAAATTTACTTGATACAAATCTACTGTTGACAGAGAATGGGAAGGGCGAGGAGCTAGAGGAATGGGAAAAAAACACAAAAGTGTAAATTTAGTTAAATTTTGTTTCATAGTTCATATTTCCTTGAAGGATAAGGTTTGTATGTATATACATATCCAGAAAACTAAGACCACTGTGCAAATCTTTGTTGCAAAGTCAATAATTGCTCAGCTGGTCAAGAAATTTCCCCACTTTTATAGAATCTGAAGGTTCACAAACACCACCCATGAAACTCTTATCCGGAACTCGTGAAATTCGGTACACTCCTTTATATCATCATTCTCTAATATCCAGTTTAATATTATCTACGCCTATATGTCCCATTTGATTTATTCCTATGAAGATTTTCAACTAAAATTTTGTGTACAATTCTCATCTCTCCCATGCCTGCTACAAGTCCTGTCAAACACATCAATCTTGATTTATACTTTCCCATTTTCAGACTACTTCATATGATGTCATTGTGTTCTTTTAACCTAACTTATAGAACTCACACCTACTGCATTAATCATCTAACTTAAGCAGCAAACAACATGAACACATGAACTATAACAGTTTGAGAGAAACACATCTGCATGGCTCCCACAGTTGTGAGACAATAAGTGTAAAATATGACCATGAGTCCCATGGGACTCAGAACCAAGAAAGACTGTGCTGGTGAGGGCCAGCAGCAATTACTCGATCAACAGTTCCAACTCCATTTCAGCTTGGAGTCCAAGGTAAACGGTAAAGATAACCCCATACCCAAGCACCATGCAGTGAAGGCACACAGGGGTAGTGAGATAAGGTCCTGTCTCTGGACATTCCCTCCCCACAGAAACAGAACTTGGTAGCACAGGAGAGGATGATGTGTATGTGTGAGGTCCAACTTGGATCTGGTGGCAAACAGAAAAATCACAGTCCAGTGCATGGCAGCTTATAACATCCAATCAAAATGAATAATAAACTCATACAGTAAATTCAATACACAAATGTGATTTTTATTTACAATATATATTCTGGTAATAATTACAAAAATATCACATTATGATTAACAGTAAGTCATATTACATAATTTATTAAAGATTAGTTCATGTTTCATCAGATACAAATTGTCTGTGTATAATNAAAAAAAGGAATTCATAGTTATACATTATTAACCCAAGATGTAACTATTATATTTACAGGAAGTTAAATGACCATGATATAACTAAAGCTTGTTATTTATATTTTATTTCTTTACTTTCATTGGATCAGCAAAACAAATATATTTAACATTTGATACATCTAAAATACATGTGATTTTTCAAAATGCTTTGTATTTAGGTTTCATTAACAAAACTTTATAATTTCTTGAATTCACAGCTATGGCTTATGCAACGAGGAAAGACAAATAAATTGGGGGGAGGGGACAAAAGTAAAACTTAAAACTTACATTGAAATGAATATAAACACTTTCATCACTCATGGATATAACATACCATGATTCCCAGTGTAATAAACATGTTTTGCTTTCCTTGAAATAGGCCATAAATATTTCTTAATTTTTGCTTCTTAAACCATCATGCATCTTATACACCAGGAAGTACAAGGACTACATTACAACTCAGACAAGATAACAAAAATATAAATATTAATTTTGTAAGGGAAGTCTGTAAAATGTATAATCTTTTAAACATTAGATAAGCCATAGACCATATGTGGTACATAATAGCATGAACAACTAAATCACAATTTTCCTATTTAAAGTTATCAGTCCCATTTTGATTTCTTTTTTATAAATGATTCTTCACCATCCTTATCCATAGCTACATAATAACCCATATTTTCATACTTCGATCTCATGTAAGCAATGTATCCAATGCAAATTCCCATGGCAGCTAAACCAACTGTCATTATTACTGCATTCTGGAACAGATGGTAGAATGGAAATTTACATGTTGTCAGTGTAAAAATCTGATGTCATGTATGGGGGGGGGGCTCTTGCATTTCTCTTGGCAAGAAACACACGTTGAGATTATAAAAAAGAATCCTTTTAAAAAAGTAAATAAAATAATTTATGTCTGCATAGGTTCCACAAGAGATACTTTATCCTTCCGGTTTATGAAAAAAGGTGCCAATATAAAATGACTCTGTTACATACCACCCAACCTTTCACTCAAACAGTATAATGTAATTTATACTATTCACCTAGTATTATTTGAGTGATTAAATAAAAAAAGATTAGAAGGATGCATCATGTAGCATGTCTCAAAAAACAAGTATGTGCATCCTGTGTTTTGGTTGAAAATCTTGTTGCAATTCACCATTTCGAAGGTTTAGGCACATGTAATAGAATATGTGCCCAATGGGGAAGCTGGGGATAAGGTTCTCTGCATTCTTAACCTTTGCACTAACTGGAAGTGAGTTGTCAGCTTTGTACCTTAGCTATTTCACCCTCATAAAAAAACCATTACAGCATATTGGATGGGCATCACAGCTGGACTGGACCAATTCCAGTCTTACTGGCTTACAGATGGCCACTTTACTGATTGAACTATTCCAGCTCTTAACCTAATTTTAATACTAAGAAAACTATGATCTAGATATTCCCTAGCCTGTAAGAATAATTATCTTATAAGCAAGGAAATGGAAATACTGCATGTAATTTATTTATGTAATTAAAATGTACACTGTGGAGAAGGGTTCAAGTTTGAGGTTACACTTACGGGTTTTGCATAAAGTTCAAAGTTAACTACTCGAAAAATTCCAGTTGACCTTAGGGACCTCAAGCCATCTCCCGGAGCAGGAGCCTTCTTTTCAGACATTAGATAAACTGGCGGGAATTAATACAATTATTGACGTCGCACAGAAATTCCAGGCTTAAACAAATTAACCTAATACATTTACTACTTCCAGTTCAGAATTCCATTGGTATCACTGTTATTGCCAAAGATTACTGTATGTTAGCTAGTAAATAACTTGCTGCAGGCGATCCGTGAGAACCGCAGAGCGCAGATAATACTTTACTCATTCCCAACAGATAGCAGGGTTGCATGGTATTGCAGTTCTTAATTGGCAGTAACATCCGAATTGTTAAACGTTATTTAGACAAATACGGCGCTTCGAAATTATTTTTCCTTACAAATTAAGCACATTTATGCATTAATAGAGTAAAGCTATTCTCCTAATGTTTTCTGTGGTCGCTCATGTGTTCAGACAATGTGAGGAATTATTCCATTTGCTCCACAAGTAATTACATATCCTCGCTCCCAAAAGTGTTAAAAGTTTTGTTGACTGACACTAAGGGTTTTCCACGTTAATACTGTTTTTGCTGATCTACTTGATAAGCCTACAGCACTGGGTAAAATATAATTCAAATTCAAGTTTTAGGAAAAATTAAAGGCTCATACTTGTGTGAATGTCACTAAGTAAAATTGTCGTTTCATAAAATATTAATAATTTCATACCAATGAACGCGAGAAATTAAATATATATTTTGATTAGAATCTTAAAATTAAATGCTTCAAACCAACACCCTCTCCCCCAAACAATGTTCAACTGAGATGAACTGTCTAAAAAGAAAATGATTGTTCGCTCCAGAGGGCATATTAAATTTCCTTTACAAGGAGTTATTCTATCCACAAGGCTAAACGAGATTGTCGTGGAATTGTAACACATTTTCACAAAAGTTAGAGCTTTTAGTAACTCACGACAGTCCGAGTCTCCTAAGAGCCAGGCCTCTTATTATTTTTATTATACTTATTTCGTGTTTTAAAGTCTTACAGGATTAATCTGTTGATTCGTTTCTTTCTTATTTCCACAAATGAGAATTGCTTCACTGGGCTGATAAGGTCATGGGAGTGGGCCTAATAATACATGTATACCGTCTGAAAATATGCAAGACCACTTATTCCTTTTGTAAGAAGTTCTGAAAAATGAGATAAATGTGAGATGTGAGGTTATAGCTGCGGCAGCTAAGAAAATTACTATCATCTGGCATATGACGTCGTTTAATTTTGTAAATGTCTACCGTAATTAGGGAGGAACATTCCTCCATTTTCAGGGTAGAAGGGGATATCAACGTGACTACACGGCATCACATTTGAGAAGAATTTTCTTTTTTCCGTCTGCTCGCATATATTTGCGTGAATTATTGAAATCGGACGCAGTGATCCTCCTACAGGAAAAGGCATCTGGAATGGAAATTAATTATAACAAATCGGAAATGTACTCCATCGAAACATGGATATAGTTGGCCTAGTCAGCATTATGATCTTGCCGTGAACATTCCGCCTATGTACACCAATATAAATACGAAATATAACATTACGCCGTGTGAACCTATGAGAAAATTATCCTTCGGAATTCAATTACGCCTTGCTTGTGCTTTCTGAAATGTAGTAAAATACGTTCTCTGAATTACTGACGAAACTGACTACCAACACTATACTAAAGAGAAATCCTACTTTGTATTCGGAAGGCCTGGGTTCAGATATCGGCCTTGACTTCGAATATGACGACTGAAAGTTTTGTTGTGTTCCTCAGTCCTTTCAGGATAATGTAAGGATTAGTACCCCAGGTTATGTCATGACGCTTCTTCCCACATTCTTATCCACTGATAATCCTAGCATTCAGGGGTTCTGTCCGTGTAACCAATGCTGCCGCTGTTGAAGACACAATTAAGTAAAACGAGAACAAGGAAATAAGAACAACGCACAGAAAATATTCAATCTTATTTTATTTAGTGTATCTCACGTCACTGCAGACCCCCTAAAGTTTGTAATAGCAATCCGTTACGTTGCTAGAGAGGCTGTGTCTCTGAACAGGCGTACCTCTTATTATGCCTTCATTTTATACGAAAATGCAAATAACGCATTACAGGAAGAAAGTCGTCTTCTGGGTTTAG